ATTTCTTAATGTCTTCTGCTTTCTTTTCTTAGGGTTTCATAATTCTCTTTGTAAAGATCTTCACCTCTTTTGTAAGGTATATTTGCTAGGTATTTCATTTTCTTTGAAGCTACTATGAAGGGAATTATATCATTGATTAGCTTCTTGACTTGGCTATTATTGGCATATGCAAATACTACTAATTTGTGGACATTTATTTTATACCCTGAGCCATTATTATATTTCCTGATCACTTCCAGGCATTTTGGGGTTGAGTCTCTGGAATTCTCTAAGATCATATATCATTGGTGATGAGTTAGAATTTGACCTCCTCCTTCTCCATTTGAATGCCCTTTATATCCTTCTCTTGCCTGATTGCATTGGCCATATCAATAGAAGCAAAAACAAAGACCATATGATCCTCTCATTAGATGCAGAGAAAGCATTTGATAAAATTCAGCATCCTTTTCTAACAAGAACTTATGAATATGGGCATAGGTAGCATGTTTCTTAAACTGATTAAAGCCATCTATGATAAACCCACAGCTAACATCATACTGAATGTAGTAAAACTGAAAGGTTTTCCAATTTTTAGGACTTTTAAGGATGTTCATCTGTTATACAGCTTTGAAAATGCCGTGTTGCATCTATACTGCTATTTGTCATTTGGACAACAAAGCAGAATAAACTCAGTTCAAGAACGTAAATATTAGTATTATTGCTGTGAGTATTGGGCCTTTTTCTCTGTCATTCTGCACCCCTCCATCTTGCATTAGCTGCTTTTGGAGAGGGGGCCTCAGTATGTCCTAAGTTAGAGCAGTTTTCTTTAGGTGCCCATTGTCCTTGTCTCAAGTTGGATTCTCCCCAAAGCAGACCCCTGAGATGAGGATTCACCATATCAATAAATGGTTTATTTGGGATGAAGGAACAAGAGTAGGCTAGTGGGGAGGGGAGCAAAGGAGAGGATAGGGTGTATTCTTAAGCCAGCTTCCACAGTAGGCCACTGGAACCTAATTCTACGGGAGGCTCTGGCAAATTGATTTGAAGCATTTGGTATATGTGTACAGCAGCTCGTTAGCAGCACTGGTTGAAGACTGATGGGCAAGGGTGCAAGTCATAGGGAATTAACCGTGTGCTCCTGTGGGCAGAGCACCCTCCCTGGTGCTAAGAAGCTTTAAGTATAGAGCCCTGAGAACTTAGGAGTACCCAGAAACATCCTAAGGCCATGTGTAGAGCATTGTAAGCATCTGCTTTAGCTTCCCTCGTGGCAACAGAGCTGGGCATGGGGCTAGTGTGTCAAGGCCTTCAGGGAGGGGCTCCATTCTGGATGAGAATTATCATCTGGTTTTGGCCTGAAGTGTTGGCCCAGGCTTTTCAGGACAAAGCCTAGACAGTGGTGTCTGCTTTCACACTACTGCCCAGCCTCAACCTATGACTGCCCTGATGAAGGGGAGGGCAAATTCTTTCTCTCACACACACAGATGCACAGATAGGTGCACATTCTCTCCCTGATCTGTCCCTCTCCATCTTCTCCCTCCATCCCCATCTCTCTCTCCTATTGCTCCCCTCCCTGTTCCTGTCTTTCCTTCCCTCCGGATCTTCCCACTGTCTCTCTGCATCTTTATCTTTGCATACATGCACTTACACACATATTCACACTCACATGTACCCCCGTTACTTTAAACATGATGAACAATTTGCGTTTCCTTGAAAGTACCACTTTATCTCATGCCTCCTTCAATTAGAAGGCCTTTCTCCCTCTGCCCTGCCTTAGGTCTATGTCATAATTATCTCAGCACTTCCTGCGTGGTATTATAATTGTTTATGTGTCTGTTTTCCTACTTCACTGTGAGCTCCTTGTCTTATTATTTCAGTGCTTTCAGTATCTGACACAGAATATAGCACATAATAAGCACCCAGTAAGCATTGAGACTGTCCCCCTTGAGTGCAGGCACTCAGTACGCATTGAAACTTCCCTTTTGACTAAAAATTCATTCTTCCATATTTTTTGTCTTTTTCTCTTATAGAACATGAACATGTATGTGAGAACTAATGTGATATTGATTATACCCTATGTTAGACCTTCCCAGGAAGCATTTGTGTTTGATAACAGAGGCATTCTGAAGATATAGTCATTAAAGATGTGATTCTCTTTGAAAATGTAGTCATTAGATTACATGTGCCTATAGGAGATAAAATATGAGAACAAATCTTTTGAGCTCTTACTCTATTTCTACTAAGCATTGTGACAGACACTGTGGGCACATCACAACTTCAGGCTCCTGGAGGACAGCCTGTAGCAAATTCTGCTTTTTATCAACCACAATGTCTTGCCTATTAATATGTATTAGTTGAATACATGAATGTTCCTCATATCCTTAGTCAAGGTTCACCATCTTAGAGGAAGCATATATATTGAAAAAAATATGAGAAGAGAAAACACTGCTTAGAGCCACCTCTCATATTCACCTGAGAATCAAGTCTGCCAATTTATGTAACTCTCTGTACCCATTTCCTTCACTCTAATTGGAGGAGGCAGGGCTAGCCAATCTTCAGTCTGTGTCTGTTCAGTTCAATTATTCATTTATTCTGTAACTTGAGAATTAACTCTGCAATCCTGAAGATGAATGAAAAAAGGAAGCCTATGGGGGAAAAGGTAGTGGTGGCACTTACAGGGAAGCAATAATGTGATGGAGGGAAAATTGACCGGGTGAATGTGTGAATACAGAAGGAGGAAGCAAATGGAAAATAGGACATGTTGCAAGCATGGAGAGAGATCCCAGGGACCTGAAACATGGCCTAGAACCCCCATCTCCTCTTCCCATGACCCCAGATCATTGTTTATAGATTCCAGTGACATAGGTGAAGTGAATTGCTTGTGCTTAGTGAGGAGGTAAATGGGAAGGGCCTCCCAAATGTGGGTGGGCAGCACCAAGCCAGTGCCATGAAGCAGCACTGTAACAGAACAAGTCACCTCGTGGATTAACTCGTGATCTTCGGTTTTTAAAAACAGATTTCCCAGGGATGAAGGGGGAGGGTAAGGGTTTCAGACCAGGAGAGGTGGTTTCCATGGCACAAGTAGACCCCACAGAGTACCGTGGGAAACCCCTGTCCCCCAGGAGGTGGGTTTGGTGGGTAACAACCAAATGTTTCATGTAAAAATAAAAGGCAAAGAAAGAAAATGAAATGTTTTTAAGATGGAAATCCTCAAAAAAAAGAAGATGGAAATCCTGTAGGGATTTATCAGTTTATCATAGTATCTCTCTGATTTCAAAGTGCATTGTATAGTTTACATTTATATCATTAATTTATAAAAATAAAAATATACAAAATTTATAAATATAAAATATATAAATTTATTCTGTAACTTGAGAATTAACTCTGCAATCCTGAAGATGAATGAAAAAAGGAAGCCTATAGGGGAAAAGGTAGTGGGTAATAATAATATTCCTCACAAAATCAAACTTTGTTCGGAAAATTTTTAAATGTATTGAGAACAATGTAAAGAGAGCTCTTCAACTACTTTTCTTACTGTTCTTCAAGAATCCAGAAACCTTTATGTATTTATCACATCCTTATTCCTTCAGCAAAATGGATTGAATAAAACTCACGTATTTCCCTAAAAAATGTGCTCTGCCTTTGAAAGGTGTGCCTCTGATATGGTCCCATAATGAGGGAATCAGGTACAGTGCCCATTGATGTCAAAGAGCATTAGAAAACCTTTGTAGTCACAGGAAAAAAGATTTTGCTAACCTGTAAATATAAACATATAATTATAGGTTAGTTAATTCTTTGACTAAGAATTTTCTCTTTTTAAAGATACTTCTCCTTGAAATATATTAAGTATTCCTATTTAAAGCTCTTTGGGTTAAAAATTAAGCATCTCTAAGTTCAAAGGAATAGATATAGAACAGAGAAATATGTATTGTAGATATCTTCATAATTGCCTTATTTATCTTTTTTTAGTGAATTATTTATGATTTGTACCAGCCTTTAAAAATTTTTATTTAATTAGGTATCTGTTTAGAATCATTACTATCATCTATCCGTATTCTGCTAGAGAAAAAAAATCTCTGTTGCTAAAAATGAGACAGTACATAAGACTTTTTAAAATATTTTGTAGGAAACATCAGTTTTGGTTATTATTGCTTGTTCAGTTTTTGTGTGTCAAAGCTCAGGCCTATTTTGTGTTCAGACTAGGTGTGCTACTAATTGCGGTGTATAACTGCCTAATTTAGAAAATGTTCTGATACTTATCTTTGATAGACCACAATCACTGACTTTTTTAAGGCTTTAATTACTAATGTACTGGATCAAAGTGCTTTTTTGTGCCTTGCTTTTAAGAAAAAGTTGTTTTATGATTGAATCACTTTCGCCAATTATAGTGTGATAATAATGCAAACACCTTTATGTAGTTATTAGTGCTGTAGCATACTTGATTCTTAGGGTACTCATGATTGATGCCTATGGTATGTTTTTATCCATAGAAAATGGAATTTGTTTTAAGGAGATAATCAAGCAAATAAAATACTCAATGACTATCAGGACCATGATATTATGTAGATATCAAATAGATAGGAAATCAGTAGGGTTAACTTTTTCCCCTTTATTTAGGACAAAACTTTTCAAAGGAAACACTGTCTAATGTATTTTTTCATAGTAAAGTAGCTGTATTTTTATAATAGCATAACGAAACGTCAAGCTGTTGTTATATGTAGCATATATATGTGTGTATATATCTACATACACGTATATACAGGTTTTATTCTCTAATTGATAAAAGACTAAGTAAAAGTTCATCAAGCCTTACTTTATTTAAAAATGTATAGTATCGTATAGAGTTCAACTTTTGATATGTGTGATTCATGAAATTGTCTATTTTCTGAATAAATTGAATTTCTTGACAACATCAGCTTTTACTTTCTACTTCACCATTACCTTTATGTTATAAACACGGAAGGTATAGACAGGTGCTAGTTGTAATAATATTCATCACAAAATCAAACTTTGTTTATATTTAGATTGAATATGAGACTCATATTAAGAAGATGCAGTTACTCTCACAAGATAGCCTAGAGATAAAAAATGAACTGAAGGATGAAGACCAAGAAAAGGTAATAAATTAAAATGATAAACCTATGCTAATAGAGGATTTCTACATGCTCATATTTTAAGATATTGTTTTAACTAAATTATCACAAAGATATTTTTGATTAAACCTTAAGTGATTATTTGAAGATTTTTGCTGATAGAGCATTGCTTTAATAGCTAATTTAATTAAATTTGCTGACATGTCACTTTAGGGTTAAAAGATAAACTCCTAAGAAAACCTAGGTGTTGTTAGTAGGTAAAATTGTGTTTTTCTAAATCATTCTTTCTAGATGCTTTTTTCTTAGTTTGAGAAATGTTTTAAATGAAAAGTAAACAAAATGAGACATTTTGATTTTTTTCCTTTGTATATATGATTTTGTACATTTTAACCTTTTCACAGAGAAAGTGGAAAGAAAGGATTGCATATCTAAGGAACAGACAAAAAGATCAGCAAGGAATACTTAAATAAATTCTGCTATGTATCTGCTGTAATGCAGTCTTCTAATCCTCCTGCCTATCTCCATATAAATGATTCTGTTCAAGACCATAGATGTTTTCTTCACTAAAAGCAGTAAAGCTCTTTTAGATGAAATGTCTAAAAACATCTTGTAATAACTTGGAGCATGCTGGCAAGAGTAGTCACTTGTGACTATGTGTGAAACCCCCTCAGCCAGTTGATATTGTAATAAGCAGAAATGGTAGCATCACTCCATTATTCAGAAAAGCCAACAGCGTGCTTGTTCCTTAGGCTGCAGCATTCATTAAGAAAAGCTTACTGGGCTGAAAGCTGGAAACAGATGATAACGGGATATGATTTTCATATTTAATGCTTTCCTTGGAAGAGTATGTGTGCTACAGATTGATAGAAGAATCAACTGCTACTTTACTAAAAGACTTTCAGGTTTGCCCTATAGCTACCGATGGAATCATTCAGCCAAGAAATTAACTTTTTCTCCTTTTACCTGCTTTATATATCTGCTAAGCAGGCTGCCTGGCTGCCAGTAAATGTTATTATGCAGTTAACTGTTTGGTATTTAAGACTCTTATCAGAAAAGAAACAGAGGCCACACTATTTTGTTTTTATAGTAGAAGGAAGGTTTTAGTTTTTCTTTCTTCTGTGCATTAGCAGGCATTAATCTGAGTTTATAGGAAGTTTGAGTTTTCCTTCCCCATAGATTAAAAAGTTTTAAAAAGCCGTAGAATTTAGAGCATTCTTTAAACTGAAAGATGCAAAACACCCAGCAACCTTGACCTATATAAAAAGGCCTTTAATGATAAATGATGTATATGCCATTCGATGTTGTAGGCTGAATGTGGTACGATGTGATAGAGTTCTAAACCATTCGGGCAGTTTTTCTGTTTGACATTTGGTCATGAAATAATTGATGTGTTTTTAATCTATAGGCCAGTTTGTTCTTTCTGTGCCATTCTGGATAGACACATTCTTAGTACAGCAGTGTCAATAGTACTTAAGTAAAATGGGAGACTCTTTTTTCCTCTGTTTGCTCTACTGACTCCTTACATACTGTTATGGAGTCTCCTTTTAAGTCATATTTAAAATTAGGGCAAGAGACACATAGTTGATGATCCCTTAAAATGTTACATGTAATAATTAGAAGAGAAGTCTTCTCTTTTATACCAAAGATGTCACCCTTCTTAAAAGCTTTGACTCTTGACTATGTCACAATCAATTAGGTAACATTTTGAGAAATTTATATCTTGTCTTTTCTGATTTTCTAATAATGTTTGATCAAAATTAAAAGTTAATTAATTAAAATATATTTCAGTAAAATCATGATTGTTAATCTTTATTATATACTAATTCCTGAATGATTTCTATTATATGAGTTATGTTTTACTTTTTTAGTGCAAATCTGAGTTCCTCCTTTTTGGGGCACTCTCTGTGCCAGAGCTATTGTCTCCAGGCACTTTCCTAACACACAGTACAATCTCACTGGTTGAATTCACTACATAATTGTTGAGCAACTGTTCTGTTTGAGAAGCCATAGTAGGCCCTTCATTAATGCCATCATTCTTGCCTTCTAGAAGCGGTGTTCTTCTAAGGTACAGGCTAACATGTGATAAGTGCTGCTTACATGGGACAGGTGTGAGCTACAGAAGAAAGTGCGGCTTCCTCTGAAATCGGTGACCTAAGCTTTGTGGAAGAGGTGGTGTGTGAGATGGTATCAGAGGATGGGCAGGATGTTAGTGGGGGCTGTTGTAGGTGTATGAAGTGTTTGAAGAAGCAGAAAAACCCAGTGGGGGGTTATTCAGTCTGGCTGAAGTCTGAAATTCTCATAAGGAAATAGTAGAAAATTAGATAGGAAAGGTGCATCATAGGATTTGGTACCTGGAGCTAAGGTACCAGGCTTAAGAACTGCAATTCCTTCCTTGAATTATCATGTGTGCATGTGTGTGCTGGAGCAGATGAAGAACTGTGAACGGAGAAGTTAGTGCAGGTGCGTAGTTGTAGGAAGATGAGGCTGGCGAGGCTGTACAGGATGAACCTGTGGAAGGTGGAGCTGAGGAAACCAGGGCCAGTTCAGACAGGAGGAATTAGCTGGAGGCCTGTATTGGGAGTGGTTGTTGGCTTGGAAAACACTAATGAAGGGTATAGGATCTATTGCATTGGGGGTAATTCTGAATTATGAAAAGATATTTTTTTAAAAAGTGGTTATACTGGGGCGGCACCTGTATCTCAAAGAAGTAAGGCACCGGCCCCGTATGCCAGAAGTGCCGGGTTCAAACCCAGCCCCGGCTAAAAACCGCAAAAAAAAAAAGTGGTTGTATAACATTCAACCATAAGCAATAACTTGGACCCCAAGAAAAGTTACCAAGTAGTGAGTATCTGTTTTTTAAATGTTAAACTCCTGGCTCAGTTTTGGTGTAAGACATCCATTGTTTGCATGCATCCAGTGGCTGCTCTTTAGAATCATGCATTCTCTTAAAGGATTAATCACTAATTTAATCATCCGTCAAGCTTGTTTCCACTATTAATTTATTTAGTAAACTTTTTTTTTCAGGTTATAATTTTTTGTTTTATTTTGTTTTAGAGACAGAGTCTTACTTTGTCGCCCTTAGTAGAGTGCTGTGGCATTACAGCTCACAGCAACCTCCAGCTCTTGGGCTTAGGAGATTCTCTTGCCTCAGCCTCCCAAGCAGCTGGGACTACAGATGCCCGCCACAACGCCTGGCTGTTTTTTTGTTGCAGTTCGGCCAGAGCCAGGTTTGAACCTGCCACCCTGAGTACATGGGGCCAGTTCTCCACTCACTGAGCCATAGGCACTGCCCTACTTAGTAAACTTTTTAAAAAGATAGGAAAGAGACAAAGTTCAGGCCCCATTTGAATGCTCACAGATTTTATTATCATTTAATAATTCTTCCCCTCTGCTATGTTTTTTTTTTTTTTTTTTTTTTTTGAGTCAGGGTCTTACTCAGTTGCCCAGGCTGGAGTGCAGTGGCATGATCATAGCTCACTGCAATCTTCCTGCCTCAGCCTCCTAAGTATCTGGAACTACAGGTCCCTGCCATCATACCTGGTTAAGGTTTTTCTATTTTTGCAGAAACAAGGTCTTACTCTTCCTCAGGCTGGTCTTAAACTCCTAACCTCAAGCAATCCTCCCATGTTGGCCTCCCAGAATGTTAGGATTATAGGCATGAGTTATTGAACCTGGCCTATTATCATTTTTTATTTTGGGGTATACTCTAATCCTTTTTGTCTCTAGGCATATTCTTCTGGTTGCTCAATTTTTTGGTATAAGCACTGATTATGGAGTATATGTAAAAACATATCAAATGCTTGTATTCAGATGAGATGGAGATGGCATTTGTGAATGATAGTATAAATTTTAGGATAAGAGTTGTCAAACGTCCTTGAATGCCCTACCATGCTATGAGATATATTCTACTAGCAGTAGAAATGACTGATTATACAGTTAGGGCTGGAGAATTAGGGAAGACCAAGGCATTTCATCCCAGGGCTAAAGGCTAGTTGAGGAGTATCACTTCCATTGTTGGAACCTTCACTGTAAGAATCACGTGGAGAACAGTTATGTAGGTTGTTAACGCCCCCTTCTAATACTAGTAGTAATGATGAGTAATGATCACTACACTTTTACTCTGCCAGATGCTGCATTAACACTTTATATGTATCCACTCATTTATTCTCAACCACTCTAGAAGGAGACCCTATTGTTCTCCCCACTTTATAGTGAGGCTCAGAAAAGTTAATGTGTCCAATACTACACAGCTAGTACTAGGCAGAGCCAAAATTCAAACCCAGATCACCTGGCTTTAGGATCCATGCTATAAGTCATCTTGTTACCCTACCTCCTAGTGCAGTGGTTCTCAACCTTCCTAATGCCCCAAACCTTTAATACAGTTAAAGGAGGTCATAATCCACAGGCTGAGAACCACTGTTCTAGTGGTAAATGCTCTTCAAAATTCCTGGTGAAATAAAAAGAGCTTTAAGCGCTAAATTTTTACTTACCTTAGGAGGAAGTGAAGTGGTCTTTCTTGGTGCTGTAATATTCCAGCTGAATTTGGTGAGCCACAGCAAGCACAGTTCCTGCCTCTACAGTGCTCATGTTTGCAATAAAAAGAGCATCCATTTCCACTGGCTCTGTTGAGCAGAAGAAATAGCTTACAAGTCTACTGAAGAACATGAAGGGAAAAAGCCTTCATAGCCAAAGGGGACAGTTGTGTGCCTGGTGCAGGGATGAGCTGTGCAATGGCTTTAGCCATGCATTTGAGTGGGTCAGGAGAGATGGCTAAGCTGTGACCAGGAGCAGCTCCACTGCAGGACAGACATCACAAGAGAAGACTACACCCCAGTGTGAGATGATGGGAAGGTTCTTCCATTCCTGATGGGACAGACCACTGCTTCTAAAATCTGAAGCAGTATTTGTAGGACCAGGGAAGCCACTATAGGGCTTGGCTCATCTCCTGACCTTGTGGAAGAGAAACCTGATTGAAACAAATAATATAGCAAGAGGGAAAGGGGCCCTAAAAGTATGCTGAAATG